AAAACCATTATCTTGTAAAGTCAATTACCCACAGAGTTCTAAAGCTAGTTAATAACTTAAGAGTCTTAGGGTGTGTTTGATTGTATTTATTTTTCCATAAAAATATTAGTTTTCCATCAAAATTCCTATTTTGGAAGTTTGATTGTTTTTTTTTTTTCCATTTAAAATAATTTTCGACTTTTGAAAATATGCCTAAATTTTATTGTTTTTAAGATTTTTTTTTTTTGAGAGTAGGTTTTTGTTTTTCTCAATAGAAAGAAAATATTTTACTTTTTAGGTGATATTTTTCATGCCAATCAAATGGTGCGTTTGATTGTCAATATTTTTTCATGGAAAATGTGTATTTCCACCAAAATTCATACTTTTTGTGCTGTTTGATTGAGTTTTTTCATGAAAAATATTTTCATATTTTTAGTCACGCGATCATATTTTATTCAAAATTATGAAAAATATTTTATTTAGGAGGAGCATAATTTTATTTTTCACGGAATTCACTCTCTCTCTCTCTCTCTCATCTATCCACTTTTTCTTATCTACCCATCAATCAAAATTGGACAAATATAATATTTTTTAAATTGAAAATTAAATCAATCGAACGCATTTAATTGATAATTTACATGCAAATAAATTCTAAACAATTTAATTACCTAGAATTTATCTTTTTTTTAATGTTAATTTTAGATTTTCAAGCACAAGTAGCCCATGTCAACAAGCTCATATCAAGGTCCGGATTACTCCATACAAGCAGTAGATTCTCGAGAATGTAAGTAATCTATATAACGTGTTAACCTGATTCACTAAGTTCGTGTATCATGAAATGTAATAACATGTCAACTTTGGAAAATGACAATTCCACTTAACACGTAGTCATTCACTTAGCCCTTGTTTTTTGAACCCCATTTTTTTTTTTAATCAAAATACATTCTTCAATAGTGATTTGTCCACACTTCAACCACATATTTTCAATAAAATAATATTACATACAAATACATGACTTTATGTTTTAATCAACCATTTTTCATCAATACACTATTTAAAAAGAGGAAATTACAGAAAATCAGGTACTAAAACTTTCAAATTCAAAAGTTAGGGGTGAAATTTATTTATGCAAAAATCAGGTATTATATATAATTAACCCATCCAATTCAACTAAAAACCCTAATCATTTCACATCTCTCTTCATTTCACTCTCACTCTCCATCTCTCTCTCGTTACTGACTCCTTCTCTTCATCTCCCTAACTCCAGCTCGCGTCTCCTCTTTGTCAGACGCCGCCACCATCGGAGCATGTCGTTGCTGGAGTACCCTTCGTTGGTGTGACTATAATGAAGAAGCACCATACCGTCGCACTTTTCCTTTCGTGAATCACCACAAGTTGAGGTAGTGAACTGAAATCACAAAGCAGATCTACCACTCCGGTGGTGAAATGAAATTGCCGGAACACTGTAGCGATTTTGTGGGTTTAGACAGTGTTTGTGTAGTGGTGGTGATGGCGATTTTGTGGTGATATATATGACGATTTGGGTGGGGCTAAGATGGTGTTTTGTGTGCTAATGATGATAATGTTTGTGTAGTGGATGTTTTGTGTTGGTATGTGACCACTGTTTGACGCATGTGTCTAATCATTTAGTTATATATGACTAACTGTTTAAGTGTAATCTAAGAATTTAACAATCCGTGACCAATTAATTTGACCTTGAAGTAATCCGAGACCTGTAATTTTTGGATCTGTGACCTATAAAATTTTATATTTGTGATCTCAAAATAATTTATGACCAATTAAGTTGATGACACATGACCAGAAAATAAATCTGTGATCTATAATTATGAATCCGTGATTATTAATTATATAACTGTGATTTTATTATATTTAATTAATACACATTTTCAATTAATTTTATGGATACCTGAATTTTGAATTTTTGAACTACATACCTGATTTGTGAATTGATGTAAATGACACTTGAACTATGAATTTTTCCCATTTAAAAATGCCCCTTTTTTTTATTATTATAAGAATGAGGTTCAAACAAGGGTTTAAGTAGACCACTTCGTTCACAAAATACAATAGGATTAAGCCCAGCGTACAGGACTTTGCCAGGTCCCTCATTGTAGCAGCAGGTCTCATTTGAAAAAAATAGCCACGGGCCAAACCGTGTCTGTGTATTATGTACGTCAAGTAACGTCCAATACAAATAAGCCACCTTCTTTTCAAAATGGTATAGGAAGAAAATTCAAATTTTTTATCAAGATTTCTTGTAACCAAACAGCCCCCTATTCTCCCTTTTTACGGAATCCAATCCACTTCAAACAATTCCGCTATCCCGCCTCCTCCCTCCACTTTTCAAAACATTTGAATTTCTGTGCCCTTGAAACCCCACAGAAGCCTGTGTGTGGCTGTGCAGCAAACTCCATCTCCTCAGTATCCTTTTCTCTCTACCTCTCTTTTTCTCTCTCTGTTACTACAATGCCGAGTAAGAGGAAATTGACCTCGGAAGATGCGGCGGCGTCTGAGGGGAGCAAGAGATCCGGAAGACAAGCCTCCAACATGCCAGATAATGATGTGGCTTTGGAGTTGGATTCAGTGACCGGATCTGGTGGAGTTATCGCTGAAGAAGAGGGAGTAGGGGAAGTGTTGCAGAATGGGAGCAGTGAGAATATATCGAAACTGCTTGATTTGGATTTGAAGCAGAAAGATCGGATTGAGGTGGAGGAAGATGAAGAGGAAGCTGCTTGTCGGTTTGTTGGAGATCCGGTTGCGGATGAAGAAGCTCGACAGCTGTGGCCCCACCGATACAATGCTTCGTCGGTAATAATCATTCGCACACAGTGACACACTAAACCCGCCTTTATGTTAATTTGCATTCCTTGTTAATGTACACGTGTGTCTTCAATGGCTATTTGGTAACGAATGCGTACTTTGAGTAATGCTATTCATAATCGTTCCGTGGCATCCTGCATGGTAGTTTTTTTATTTGATTTATTAATATGATAATTTTTTCTAGTCTTATGTATCAAATTACTAAACAGCATATATATTATCATTTGGGTGGTTGTGATACTGATTGATTGCAAGTAGCATTATTCATATTTTTTTGGTTTTTATTTGCGAAGGATATGTCTCTGGGGCGACTTAACCTCGAGAGATCTGAATTTGGTCTAAATATGTTATATGAAAAATGCTACTCAGCCAAGTGCAAAACCAGGCTAAAAAACAGGAAGTCGAGGTGGCAACACCTCGGCCCTTAGATCTGGAAAAAAAAAAGTAAGGGTGTGTTTGATTACATTTATTTTCCACGGAAAATAACAATTTTCCACGGAAAATATCAATTTTCCACCCAAATTCTTACTTGAAGTGTTTGATTGCTATTTTTTTCCATGGAAAATATTTTCCAATTTTTGAAAATATGCCTAATTTTCTTTGTTTTTAAGGAAAAATATTTTCCTTGGGTGGAGATGGTTTTTATTTTCCTCAAAACAAGGAAAACATTTTCTTTTCTAGGAGATATTTTTCATGTTAATCAAACACACTCTAAATGAAATTGGGGGCTGAGGTGACTGTTTTTGAGCTTGTTACTGAGCCTGGCTTAGTAGCAGGGCTCTATGTTATATAATGATATAACTGTATACTCTTGGCTGAAAGTTGTTATTTTGAAATTTTCAATCGAGTAAAAATTTACTTCACGAGGTTGTTTAGGTATGAATCGAATCACTTGCCACTCTTGTGTCCAGATTAAATATCTTGAGCAGTGAATAGAATTTTTTAGTTTTAGTCGTTTAGGGTTCGTGAATTGCCATATTCTACTTTTTAATTAGTGCAAATGTTTGTTAAGTCTCCCAATTAAATGGGGTTTCAAGTGAATCGATTTTTGTGATTTTTGACCTATTTTCATGCTAAACTATTTAAGACAATTTAGATTTTTTTTTTCAAATTAAATAATTTTTAGCCATTCGTTTTGATTTAAACTATAGTTTACATAGCAACGTACAGGTAACACTTTTTAAGTAAACTAAATTAAAAAAACATGTTGGTATTTAATGTCAATACAATTTAAATTGGAGCTTTTCAAAAATATATGTTACAACTCTAATATATAAATCTTAGCACAAGTAAAAAGTAAAATATTATGAAGTTCAACCGAAATTGTGACCCTTTTTGAATGTATAATTGCATCTTAGGTCAAGAAGTATTGCAGTCAACACCAATTAATTAAATTTTTTGGGATTATTTTAATATTTATCATATTCGTTGCATACTAATTGTCGAATTGTTTGGCTCTTTAGCTAATTGAGTAACTCGATTTATTTCTTGAATGAAGGTGTCGGACATAACTTACAAAGAACCACTAATTTTTATCTTTGCACCATAACAAGTCTTAAAAACTCCACAAATACTTTAGAAACTAGTTGAAATTGGAAAGTATGTGCACTGTTCAGATATTGAAATTTGAATCTAGACGATAATTTCAATTTGATTTTAATTGACGGTCTGTATAAATCCAAAACCTAGACTGGAGCATAATTGAGCCTCGTCCATCCACTTCGCAAATGTGGAGATGCGTAAAACGTGTTATTATTTATGTTCAACATGTGTGTATTTGTGCAGACATTTGGTGAAATAGGTATACTTCTTGATTGCCTTTCTACACAATGAAACATGCAAACTAATAAATTAAAACGTATTGTTCTGGGCGAGTACAGGAAGTAATTCGAGCTAGACGCCATTTTACTCAAGCAGAGGTTGATGGGCAACTATTCAATCTGGAAGATGAGGCTTATGTAAAGGTGACACTTTATTCTGGTCTTCCATGGATTTTTTCTGTTTTTGTAATTTGGATTTTCTCACGTGCATGTCTGGGCACTCTTTTGTTCAGCTAAGATTTTCCTTCTAGTTCATGAATATTTGTGTATAGTTTGGATTTGTTTTCTTACATCTGCTAAATCATGTTTTTGTACAAAACTACAAATAAAACAAATATATAACTACTGTATTCCAGCAGCGCTTTGCCATAATTTGTTCGCTACACAATCGAAAGCATTTCTAGTGGAAGTCACTTTTAAGGAACTGTGTGATTACTAGTGGTGCATTCGAGGAGCAATTTCCAAATGGAAAAAACTCGAAGCACGACAATGACACAATAAGTTAGATGATAAAATTACTTCATTTTGCATGAGGTGATCTGCTTCCCTCATAAAAGGAAGATTATCATTTAAATTGATTGAAGTTTATTATGAATTTTAAACCTTGTATATTTTTCTAGAAAATTTCGAAAATTGAATATCAAATCTTTGCTTTCAGTTGACATTTTTCTATGTAATTCATTTTGTGAGATGTTCCCAGTAAAAAAATAACTGGGATGCTTTCCTGTTTCAAGCTGTAGTCAATAAGTATCACTGAATACACTTCATTTCCAAAACATTAAATTACTTTAGGTTCTACATTTTGGTTTTCAGTTGATTGCATCTGTTCTTTTTAATTTCATATCGATCTCTCCAGAATGAAGACTGTGATAGACCATTGAGGTAAATATAAGTACGAGAACACATTGCAAATCGTATTATACTATTTTTGACATATACACGCATGATGCATCCAACCGTATGCATCTAACACATGCAATAATGGTGTAGGCTGATGAAGGGCAAGATAATTTCATCTGTAAGATTATAGAGATGTTTGAGGCGGTGGATGGCTCAAATAATTTTACTGCACGCTGGTATTATCGGGCCAATGATACGGTAAGACCTTATCAAAAGTTGTATTTGTGTTTTGCAATAGCTCTTTTGTTGTAATGCTGATATGACGTTAGCTTTCGTTCTGTTTGTCAGGTCATCAAATGTTGTGATAACTTTATAGATGACAAGCGCGTGTTCTTTTCAGAAATCAAAGATGACAACCCTTTGGATTGTCTTGTTAGGAAACTCAAAATTGTAAACCTACCGATAAAAGTAAGTCAGGTTTGCTTTAATATTTCCCTAAATATTCTTCCATTCTATCAGGTTCTAATATGAAGTGCTGGATTTCAGGATGGATCGGATATAAATGGAGAAATAAGGTCAAAATGTGACTATTACTATGATCAAATGTACTTGCTTCCATATACTTCTTTTGTAAGCTTACAATCAGGTATATTTTTCCCTTCAGTTATTGAGCAAGTTGTTCCCACAATTTTGACTTTTATTTTTTCAACTTGAAGGTTTTGATTATATATCTTTAATAATTTCTTAACGATTTTTTGTTCCCTAGATAATAGTGCTGCTAGCAGTGAATCTTGTTCTACCATCTCGAGTGATGCTGATGTTGCTGTAGCTTCGAGTTTTGGCGAATGTCCTGGAGTAATAGAGCAGGGTAGGGAGAAAACACTATTGGACTTGTACTCTGGATGTGGTGCAATGTCTACTGGGCTCTGTCTTGGGGTAAACAGTTGTGGTGTTAACCTTGTTACTGTAAGTTTTACATCGTTGCTCTTTTATGGATAATCTAGTATTTTTGCTTTCATTATTAATTTTGAAACCCACGGTATAATGATCTAATAAATTATGCATTTTATGAATGTAGAAATGGGCTGTTGATCTTAACCAGTTTGCATGTGAAAGTCTCAAATTGAATCATCCTGAGACTGAGGTAGAAATAGTTAAACATGATGTTTTGTATTGGTACCTTTTTATCTCATCTTTTATTCATTAGTTTTGATTTTTACGTTCTTAACTTGGTACCTTAGGTCCGAAATGAATCTGCCGAGGATTTCTTAAACCTGTTGAAGGAATGGGAGAAGCTTTGTGCCTCCCATTTATCAACAGAAACTAGTGGTCCGGTACATGAAAACAGGCTTTCCAACAGCATGGAAAATGATGAAAGTGATGATAATGGGAGTGAAAGTGGATCTGAAACCTTTGAAGTTGCAAAGATATTGTCAATTTGTTACGGCGATCCAAATAAATCTGGAAAATCTGCATTGTATTTTAAGGTATCCGGATTGTCTAGGGTTTATTATTTGGATTGCTATGAGAATCCACATGCTTATAATGAAAAACAAAAACAAACTGTCTCGACTCTTTATTCAGTGAGAGCTTGTTAAGTAAGTGCATATCCTCATGCAATAATGTAAACCAAATAAGTCTTGGATTAGTTACTAACCTTTTTTGTGGACACTTGTTTAATCACTCTGGTTGCTTTACTAATTTTGCTATTCTATCTTACCTCGTACTTAAAGCTCCTAGGAGTTAGCAATAAAACCTTCATGTTGTCTTGTAAATTGCTATTTTTTTCTTCCCTATTTCTATTTAGATTCGTTGGAAAGGTTATGGACCTGAAGAAGACACGTGGGAGCCTTTAGAAGGTTTGAGGTACAGAATAAAAACAATATTTTTGTCATCAAGCTTAAGTTGGTACTCGAAATCATCATTATTCAATTTAATTGGCTTATGGTGAATGCCTACTTACTAGTGATTGTGAAGAAAAATTGAAGGAATTTGTCTTTGTTGGCTACAAGGCAAAGATTTTGCCTATGCCGGTAAGCTTTTCCTGGTTCTAGCAACTTGTGAAATCTTTGTTGCTCTAAGTTATTAAGTATTTTATGCTGATGCCAATTAGGGGGATGTCGATGTTATATGTGGCGGCCCACCATGCCAGGGCATAAGTGGATTCAACCGTTTCAGAAATAAGGAAAATCCTTTAGACGATGACAAAAATAAGCAACTAATTGTTTTCATGGACATTGTGGCCTTTCTCAAGCCAAAATTTGTGTTGATGGAAAATGTCGTTGACATCGTAAAATTTGCGGGCGGCTTCCTTGGAAGATATGCTATTGGTCGCCTTGTTGGAATGGGTTATCAAGCAAGGATGGGAATGATGGCAGCTGGTGCTTATGGACTCCCACAATTTCGAATGCGCGTATTCGTGTGGGGTGCCCTTTCGACTGAGGTAATATTGTCCTTTTAGTTTCTTTTTCCTTGCATGCAAGGCAATCATTTTGAATCAACTGGTTGAGTTTTCCGTATATTGTTCTTATTTTTTGGGTTTCTCTTCTCTTGAATAGAAGCTACCCCAATACCCGTTGCCTACACATAATGTTGTTGTTCGGGGGGTTATTCCAACAGAATTTGAGGTAGTGCTTGTTAAATTTCTTTTTCTTGTAAAGGTTTAGTGTTGACTATTGGTTCTAGCTATAAATATTCACTGATGAATGCAGGCAAACACAGTTGCTTACAGTGAAGGCTCTAAAATTGACCTCAAAAAGGAACTTTTTCTTGGTGATGCGATATCTGACCTTCCTCCTGTATGTAAAATTCACATTTTCTCTTCATTCGATAAAGTAATTCTTTAATGATATCCTTTCAATCATTTCAACATAAATCTAATAGGTTGAGAATGATGAAGCACGAGACGAAATACCTTATGGTTTCGAGCCAGAAACAGATTTTCAGAGGTTTATAAGACTACGTCGGGATGGTGAGCACATGTTAATTTGATATTAGCAAAAGTATTATCTTTATGCTTCAGTAGTGCAGAGTTCTCTGGGTTAGATTCGCCAAAATGACGATGGCTACAATAATCTTTTCTGATCCATTATCTAGGAGCTTAGTAATTGTAGAAAAATAAATGACCATAACTAGATCTGTGTCAGGTTCTTGGCAATGCATCCTTTTGAGATTAGATAAAAAAAATGTGAGGGAGCAGTGAGAAAATTCACTCAGGAACTACTAAACTCTCCTTTTCCTTAACCAGAGGGTATCTTTGGGTGAGAAATAAAAAGGTGGCAACTGAATACAACTTGTATATTTCTTGGAAAACTAATGGTCGAGAAGTCAGTTTCTTTAGTACAAGTGTTTATGAAAGAAAATGACTATTTTTACAAAGAGAGTGTCATTTATAGACATATCATAATGGAAATAACTTCATTTACTAGTGGACTGAGGGAGTAATACTTGTCAATGAGATAATCATAATCACAAGATCACGGGTTTATTACCATATTTATATACGTGTATTATATTTTAGGTAGAAATTTCAGTTTACCTAAAATTGTACCATATTACCATGTATGTTTGTAATATTCATCTATATAATGCAATGAACCCCAAAAAATCATTCAGCCAAACTTTGTCATGGTATCAGAGCCATATCTGTAGATTAAATTAGGGATCGACAATTTGGTTAACAGAACAGACTTCTAGGGCAATAAATCTTCAGTTGAAGTCACTATTTTAGTGTAATTCGGTTTTGGGTAATTGGAGAGACTCTCCGGCGTCTCTGTGGGTGATCTCCGGCCTATGATCGACGCGACTCTTAGCGTCCCTTGGGTGAGCAACGAACGCAACTCTCGACGTCCCTTGGGTGAGCAACGGGGTTCGGGATTCCTTTTTCCGGCGTCTCTTTGTGTGTATTCGACAGGATTTCAGCATCCTGTGTGTGGGCTCAACAAGACTTCGAGCGTTTCTTTGCTGGTTGACGCGAATTGTGTGGAATCGAGCGTCTGGTGTCAGAGCTTCTCTGGAGTTCATAGCTTCTGTGGTGGTTTGGGCCTCAAGTGTGGACTGTGTGTTTTAACAAGTGGGCTGTGTTTGTTGGACTTGCAATCTTTTTGTTGTGGGTTGACCTTGGGTGACAATTAATTGGGCTGCAAACTGTTTCAGTGTGTGGACTGCATTTGTTTGGATTATATTTTATATTTTATATTACAAAGTTATGTCGGTTGACTCCTTCTGCGTTAAGTTTACTGGGAAAAATTATTCAGCATGAGAATTTCAATTCAGGATCTTTTGAAAGGAAAGGAACTTTGGGGTCATATTGATGGGTCTTCTAAAGCACCTGAAGATACTAAGGATCTTAGTGCATGGGAAATAAAGACGCTCATATTATTTCTTGGATTTTGGGATCTATGGAGTCTCACATGGTGAATAATTTACGCTCTTTCACTACGGCAAAAGAGATGTGGAAATACTTTAATTTTGTCTCATTTGTTGAAGTGTGGTTCTTTGGGTAATAAAGATAAGTTTCAATTTTCCAATTTGTCTTTCGATTGTAATACTTGTAAGCTTGGAAAAAGTAAGACTCTTCCTTTTCCCACTCATGGGAATCGTACTGATAAATGCTTTGAGATTATTCATATTAATGTTTGGGGCGTGGCACCTGTGACTTCTCATGCCCATTATAAGTACTTTGTGACATTTATTGATAATTTCAGTCGTTACACTTGGATATATTTTCTGCGCTTGAAAAGCGAAGTCGGTACCATTCTTCAAACCTTTATAGCTTACATTGAGACATAATTCTCCTCTAGTATTCGTATATTGAGGTTTGACAACGGTGGGGAATATATGTCTCATCAATTTCAATCATTTTTACAACAAAAAGGTATTCTATTTCAACGCTCTTGCCCATATACACCTCAGCAAAATGGAGTAGCAGAAAAAAAGAATCGTCACCTATTAGATGTCAGAGTTTTACTTTTGGAATCTTCGGTTCCATCCAAAATTTGGGTCGAAGCCCTTTCTACAGTTGTATATCTGATCAATCAATTTCCTGCTCAGCATTTGAATTTTGAATCAACTTATTTTCGCATGTACGATACACATCCTGGTTATGACATGTTGCACACCTTTGGTTGTGTTTATTTTGTTCATTTACCTCATCATGAATGTCATAAGCTTAATGCTTAATCCGTACAATGTGCTTTTATGGGTTACAGCATTGCTTAGAAAGGCTTCTTCTATTATGATGGTGTTGCTAATCGTTTTCGTATATCTCGCAATGTGGTCTTTTTTGAGAATCAGTATTACTTTCAACATCATGTTGCTTCATCTCCTGATTTGGCCCCACTTATTAGCTTTGAGAATGACTCTGGTTCTGTAGAGCGTTTTAAACCTGGTATGGTATATCAACGACGACAGCTTCCAAATCGACTACTCCTTCTCGTTCTCGATCCCGATCCTGATTCAATCTCAAAATCTACTAGTTTTCGGCGATCCACTCGTGTTACTCATCCTCTTGCTCGATATACTTCTCTACAACCTTATCTCATTTTACAGCTCCTACTTCTTATTCTTAGGCCGCTAGTCAACCCTGCTGGGAGAAAGCTATGCAAGAGGAACTTCAAGCTCTTCAGGAGAATCACATATGGGATATTGTTCTTTGCCTTCCTGGTATTCAACCCATTGGGTGCAAATGGGTATATTTTGTTAAGCTCCGATCTAATGGATCTCTAGAATGTTATAAAGCTCGGTTAGTAGCTCTTGGAAATCATCAAGAATATGGGGTGGATTATGAGGAGACCTTTGCTCCTGTTGTTAAAATGACGACGATTCGAACTATTCTAGCTATAGCTTCCTCCAAGGGTTGGTCTTTGCGACAGATGGATGTTAAGAATGCTTTTTTGCATGGTGACCTCAAGGAAGATATTTATATGACACCTCCTGCGGGTCTCTTTTCGTTGCCATCTTTCGATGTGTGTAAACTAAAGCGTTCCCTTTATGGGTTGAAGCAGGCTCCTCGTGCTTGGTTTGACAAATTTCGTTCTACTCTTTTGGATTTCTCATTTACTCAGAGCAAATATGATTCGTCTGTCTTCATCTCTGTCACCAAAGCGGGGACTGTGCTTATTTTGGTCTATGTTGATGATATTGTTATTACAGGAACTAAATCTGGCTTGATATCTCAACTATAAAATCAACTGAAGGATTCTTTTCATATGAAGGATTTAGGCCCTTTGTAGTATTTCTTAGGTCTTGAGGTGGTTTCAAGTCCAACTGGAACTTACTTGCATCAGTTCAAGTATTTGGAAGAATTGATTACTTTAGCTGGACTTCGGGATGGTCGATCGGTTGATACTCCTTTGGAAGTGAATGTGAAGTACCATAAGGATGAAGGTGATCTCCTTCTTGATCCTTCTTTGTATCGCCAGTTGGTTGGTAGTTTGAATTATCTCATTATTACTAGACCAGATATCTCTTTCACCGTGCAACAGGTCTGTCAATTTATGCATGCTCCACGACACCTTCATCTGACTGTGGTTCGTCACATCATTCGACACTTGCTGGGTACACCCAATAGAGGCCTTTTCTTTCCTACAAATTCCTCTATTGAGTTAAGAGGATATAGTGATGCAGATTGAGTTGGATGCGCGGATACTCGTCGCTCGATTACAGGTTGGTGCATGTTTCTTGGGGATGCACTAATTTCATGGCGCGGCAAGAAACAGGATCATGTTTCTAAATTTTCCACTGAATTTGAGTATCGGGCTATGTCTTTTGCCTGTTCTGAGATTGTTTGGTTGCGGGGTCTTCTAGCTGAGCTTAGTTGTCCTCAGCTTACGCCCACTCCCCTTCATTCTGATGACACTAGTACTATTCAAATTGCTGTTAATTCTGTGTTTCATGAGCGTACTAAACACATTGAGGTGGATTGTCACTCTATTCGTGAGGCTTGTTATGGTCTTCCCTTCCACATATCATCACTGATATTCAAATCACTGATGTGTTTACCAAGGCCATGACTCGACAACGTCATCAATTCCTTGTCAGCAAATTGACGCTTATTGATCGTCCAGCGTCAATTTGAGGGGGGATGTCAATGAGATAATCATAATCACAAAGATCACGGGTTCATTACCATATTTATATACGTGTGTTGTATTTTAGGTAGAAATTTTAGTTTACCTAAAATTGTACCATATTATCATGTGTGTCTGTAATATTCATCTATATAATGTAATGAACCCCAAACGGGAAAATCATTCAGCCAAACTTCGTCAATACTTGCTATTATGTAGCCCGTGCCTTGAGCGTTGCTTTCTTTTGGGGTCAAAGTCAAGGATGATGTGCTTTTCAAACGATTGCAGAGAGACAGCACTACTTCTTATGTCCCCATTCAATAATTAACAGATATGAGATGGAAACTCGCAATAGATGTGGATTTGCACTCTTATTTATGTGTAACCCCCTTTGATGCATAATATAATGTGACAATGGGCTGTTTATGGTAAAGTTGATAAATAGTAATATGAATACTCTGAGATGCATTGAATGAAAATACTTCTGTTTCAGCTGAAAAATGAATTTCTTGCTGCCTTTTTTTTTTTGGCATTGCAATTCTTTTTTGTCCTACCTTACACATTATCCCCTCTCTTGAAAATTCACACTTTTTAGATACAAGAAAATTAGTCTTATGATACAAATTTCAGTCCTGTTTATTATTGTACCATTTGAGTGAACATCCTTATTGTTGTTTAACATTTTTTTTTAAATTCAATGGTTAAGTTTTTATTCGGCTGACTTACATTATGTTTTTCATTAAAAAGTTAAGATGAATTAATGGATTATGCGAATCAAATTAAAGAGACTGATTTTTTTTTTGCCTAATGATCTGTAATGCTTGCATAGGTCCTTGTTTTTGATTGTTTAAATATTAATTAAAGCAGGACAATCTATTGCCTTGAATTGAAAACTTTTCTTTGCAATGTAGAGATGCCTGGCTGCTTGATGTTTAACTCTGAGGTGTCTGAACATAAGTTGTATGATCATCAACCCTATCTTCTAAACCAGGATGATTTCCAACGTGTGTGTCATATTCCTAAGAAAAAGGTAATATATCTTCTAGAACCCAGATTTATGAATGTTAAACAGCAAAACTTTAATCTGTCCTTTGGATTCTGAACAATTTGCCTTCATGGTTTCAGGGGGCAAACTTTAGGGATTTGCCAGGCGTTAGAGTTCGTGCTGATAACAAAGTTGAGTTTGATCCTGATATAGAAAGAGTAAAGCTGCCTTCTGGGAAGCCTTTGGTATATTTCTATGACATTTTTACTCTATGCCAATCCTCCTTGCTGCTATATATAATGTGTATTAAAAAATGGCAGGTTCCTGATTATGCAATGACTTTTGTGCGTGGAACTTCATCGAAGTATGAAAATCCTTCTTTTTTATGCATAATTTAAGTGCTTATTGATAGACAAAGGATCTCATGCACGTTCTTCATCCTTGCAGACCATTTGGACGGTTATGGTGGGATGAGACCGTTCCAACTGTGGTTACTAGGGCTGAACCTCATAATCAGGTAACTTTTCCTTGTCCTTTAGATGTAGAGTTAAACTGTACAGATATGCAGGTTTTCTGTTGGATAACATCATGACCTAGACTCTTGTGCTTTAGACGATTGTACATCCTGTTCAAGATAGAGTTCTTACAATCCGTGAAAATGCTCGTTTACAAGGTTTTCCAGATTATTATAAGCTTCTTGGCCCAATAAAAGAAAGGTGCCTACCTAGTAATTTTTTATTATTTACATTTAATCTTCAATGTTTTTTCCCCAACCATTTGTAAATTACTTATTCTCTTCATTTTTATTCATTTCTGTTCCCTTTTCGCTTATTCTTTTCCTCTTCGAAACACTTGTTAGATACATTCAAGTTGGGAATGCAGTTGCCGTACCGGTAGCTCGAGCATTAGGGTACTCATTGGCATTGGCATTGAAAGGATTGTCAGGAACTGAACCTTTATTCACCCTTCCTGAGGAATTCCCAAAGATTGCAGATACTACTTCTCCTACTTCTCCAGAGGTTCATTTGTGACCATTATGATTATTTATTGGAGTCAATTAATTATGCCTCGATTCTTTTGCAAACTCAACTCAGTGTTGTAACTTTTTATCAGTGCCCTTCAAATGTCGTTGGATATTGAGATTATTGACAGCATTATTATTTGAGTTATAAATTGTAATCAGGCAAATAATTGCTGATTTTATTAGTAAATCTATTTATTATTCATGTCTACGTTAATTTCTAATAGGGAAAATTCCATGTCTATAATTCAAATTTATATGGTAAGAGTTCAACTTATGAAATGTTGGGGATTAATTTGTTTCTTTTCTAGGGGTTGTGGAGCTATTTATTACAATTCATTTGTTAGGGACTAATAGTGCAAGTTTTCCTTTCCGTATAGTATTAATTGGCAACAAACAAAATGAGAGTACATGATTAGGAATACAGAAAGAGTGTATCATTCCCAAAATTTATGTAGGAGTTTTCAACTCTGTATTTGGTCGTGTAGGATTGGTGGTCATTATACAAGTGTCCCATGCTACCAAATAGGGATAAAATTAATAAGTAATATTTTTGTTGACATGCTAAAAGTGCAGTCCAATTTAAATAGCTGAAAGAATGAAGTCCAATTGAACAATTGAGGATAAAGACCCAAATGGGGTTATTATTAAATGTAGTGGAAGCCCACAAACGCGGTAACACCATCGCCCAAATTTACAAGACGCCTAGGATCTGAGCGAATGAAGTGTCTTGCAGTCGTTCAAAGTTATGATCTTGTTCTCGTCCAAACTTTCGAATCGCCCAGGATCTTAGCAAACGTGAGATGTTATGGTTATCCAAAAGTTCAATTATCGAAGCAGTTATTGAATAATCTTATTACGTTCCACGATTCAAGGATGTTCAGTTGAGGACGATTGAACGACAAAGAGTAATGGCAGCAGTTAGAGACGGCAGTTTTACGATAAGTTGGCCACATGAAGAAAGTGGACATTTATAAAGCAATTAAGCGGTTTCTAAGCGGTTGATCACAAATAGAGCATCAAAAGAATATAAAAGAAAAGAAAAGACATAGAGCAAAAGACCCCGAATCAAACACTCTCAAATAGAGAATATATAATTTTAATTTCTTAGTTTAGACTTAAAACCTTTTTTTTCAGTACTCACGTGCTTGCGCTTCTTGGAGGCATTTCTATTTAAGTTCCAATTGTAAAGTCATTGCCAATAAAACACATCTTTTTGGAACTTTGTCTCAAAAGGTTTGTCCCTTACACAATCGTCTGACCCCTTTTTAATTGTTAGTGAGTACCCGCGCGAAACAATTTGGCACGCCCAGTAGAACCTTGGTGTTTAGTGTTGAAGATACAAAATGTGAAACAATATGCCTCAGAAATCCGATAAGGAAACAGCAAGCCAGGGAGGAGTGCAGTCTGTGATTGAACGATGTGAGGAGCAGCATAGCTCTCCACGAATAGATGGACAGGATCAGAGTAATCACAATCGCTACGAACCAATGATAGAGTTGAGTCCTCGAACCATGCGTGCATTACTCGGAGAACTCACACAAGATGTCGTTGAACAGGTAAATCTACGAACTATTCATAATATGGAAAGATTTACCCAGAATGGGAATGCACATTATGACAACATGGCCAAACAATTGAATACTTTCAACGAAATAATGAATAAGTTGGTAGGCCAAATTTGTCAGCTAGTTGTGCCTCTTACAAACCACTTTCAAACTAGGACAATTGTAGGACATAATCCCCCAGTCCTAAGTTTAAATCAAGGGGTAGAACCACCTTTTGATCCCTCTACTTCAAACCAAGGGGGTGGTGTAATACCAAATCAGAATAGTAGCATTGGTACATCTAACTTGGGGGTAATTCAAATGTAAGAGATAATGTCCTAAATAATGGATA